AAGGATGGAGCCGTTAAGGGCTTAAAGCTGAACGGACAACCACCCGATGATAACTGTGAAATTTGCCTCCTTTCAAAGTTCACCCGTTTCCCCTTCCATAGTGTGGCTGGCAGGAGCAAAAAGCCGTTGGAGCTGGTCCACATGGACTTGGTGGGGCCGCTGCCGGTGCAAGGGCACAAGGGGGAGCGATACTTCCTAACCATAGTGGATGACTGGAGCAGGCTAATGTGGGCGTATCCGCTGAAGCAAAAAGATCACGCCGCCTCCACGATTCGGGACGATTGGCTGCCGTTCGTGGAGAAGCAAGCGGAGTGTGTGGTGAAGCGGATTAGGACAGATCGGGGTGGTGAGTTCCTTGGAGCTGAGATGACGGCCTGGCTCAAGAAGCAGGGCATCCAGAGGGAGCTGACCACGGCTTACACCCCACAGTCCAACGGTGTAGCAGAACGGGCGAACCGGACAATTCTGGAGACAGCTAGGGCGCTGCTCATAGAATCTGGGCTGGGCAACTTGATGTGGCCCCATGCTGTTCGGCACGCTACCGTCGCTAGGAACAGGGTACTCACAAAGGTTGGGGATGACTCGTGGGTGCCGTTGGAGAGGTGGCTTGGGAGGAAGCCGCCGGTGGACATGCTGAGGGTGTTCGGTTGCATGGCAGTCGCCCACGTCCCCAAGACCTACCGCAGTAAGTTGGGGGCAAGTGCAATCTGGTGTGTGCATTTGGGGCTGGCAGCTGAGAGCAAGGGATGGCTGCTGTGGGAGCCTTCCAAGGGTGTGTTGTTTGACAGCAGGGATGTGAAGTTTGTTGAGGGCATGATGTATGGGAGCTGGGAGAAACAGCCGGAGGCCAGGGTGTCCCAGCAGATGGAGCAGATTACCATGCAGCTGGACCTGACTCCTAGTGTGTGGGAGGAGGGAGAGGAGGCAGCTGCAGAGGGTGGTGATAAAGAGAAGGTGCAGGAGGCACCTGCTGGTGGAGGTGATGGTGTGGAGATTAGCGGTAGCACTAGTGGAGCTGCTGGATCCGAGGGAGGAGAGCAGCAGCAGGGGAAAACTAAGAAGCCGAAGGGTGTCGTTATGAAGGGATGGGAGACACCCGTCTCCAGGCCAGGACGTACCCGTATGGCTACTAAGAAGCTGACTGCAAGAGCTGATGTAGCGGAGCAGCAGCTTGGGACCGAGGAGGCATTGCTGATTCTACCGCATGGCTATGACCCGGATGAGGAGGATCAACCTGCGTACTGTTTTCTTGCCCCTGCACCAGAGGAACCAGCTAGCATGGAGGAGGCATTAGCTGGACCAGATAGGGACAAATGGCTAGCTTCCAGGGATGCTGAGTACCAGAGCCTGCTGGAGAATGGGACTTGGGAACTAGTGGTGCTGCCTGAGGGAAAGAAAGCGGTACAATGCAAGTGGGTGCTAAGGATCAAGACTGACGACAAGGGGCAGGTCACCATCTACAAGAGTAGGTTGGTGGCTAAGGGGTTTATGCAGAAGGAGAAGCGGGACTTCAATGAGATCTTTGCTCCCACTGCCAAACCCCCTACCCTTCGTGTCTTGTTGGCAGATGCAGCCGTTAGTGGGAAGTTCATTATCCAGATGGACATATCAACGGCATTTCTCAACGGGATTTTAGAGGAGGAGGTGTTCATGACGCAGCCACCTGGGTATGAGGATGGTACGGGCAGGGTGTGCAAGCTGAAAAAGTCCATCTATGGCTTGAAGCAGGCGCCACGCTGCTGGTACCAGAAGTTGGCAGCTGTTTTAGAGGAGATGGGATTCAGGACCAGCAGCTGTGATGAGAGCCTCTTTCTCAAGGGGGAGGGGGAGAAGCTGGTGCTGTTTCTGGTCTATGTGGACGACATTCTTCTCTTTAGCAGCAGCATGAAGGAGATCCAGAAGGTGCAGCAGCAGCTGATGGAGAACTTCAAGTGCAAGAACCTTGGGGAGGTAAAGTACTACCTCGGGATGCACGTGGAGAGGGATCTGGATCACAGGTGGTTGAAGCTGCACCAGGAGAAGTTCATCAAGGAGCTTGGGGAGAAGTACGGAATTGAGAATGAGCGCAAGGTTGCAACTCCCCTGCCAGCAGAATTCAAGCTTGTGAAAGCTGCAGAGGATGAAGGGGTTGAAGCCGAGGAGCAGCAGCAATTTCAGTCCTTGGTGGGCAGCCTCTTGTATGCAGCAGTTCACACGAGACCCGACATCTCTTTCTCGGTTGGGCAGCTGGCTAGGGTAGTGCAGAATCCATCAGAGGAGCAGGTGGATGCAGCTGAGCGTGTGGTGAAGTATCTGAACTCTCACCCAAGCATTGGAGTTCAATACTCCGCATCTGCACAGGTGAAGCAGAAAGGGGTTGAGGTGCTGAAAGAGAAGGGGGAGAGGCTTGGAGAAGGCAAGCTTTTTCTTACTTGCTTTACTGATGCTACGTGGGCCTCTGAGAAGGAGGATTCCTCATCTGTGGGAGGATACATCTGCGTAGTTGGGGGAGGACCGGTTAGTTGGAGGTCAAAGAAGCAGACGGAGACAGCACTCTCTTCTGTGGAATCAGAGTACATGGCGATGTTCCATGGAGTGAAGGAGGTGATTTGGCTGAGGAGGCTGTTGGAGGAGATTGGCCAGGAGCAAAAGGTTGCTACGCCGCTGTTTTGTGATAGCAAGGGAGCTCTTGGGATGGCCAGGAACGCTGTGCTTCATGGGCTGAATAAGCACATGCGTATCAAGTGGCACTGGCTGCGTAAGGAGGTGAAGAGGGGGACGGTGAATCCGATCTACATCAAGACTCACCAGCAGCCAGCAGACTTCCTCACCAAGAGGCTTGCGGATGAGCCTCATTGGCGTTGTGTGCGCATGAGTGGAATGAGCATGAACTAGTATGGAATGATGGGGATGCAGCCGGCAGGCTGAGGGGGAGTGTGTTGGGTGCAAATTCACATTGCACGACATCCTGCCGTCTGTTTGTACGAGTATGCGTGTGCGAATGCATTTGCGTGTGAATGGTATGTTTGTGTGTTTGTTTGCTTTCGCAATTTTCGCTTGAAGCATTTGCAGGTACTCGCAAAATGTGCGCTTCGGCATAACATTGTACGCGCTATGAACAGTAGAAGCAGAAAGGACGAGCTCGCAAAGGAACCCAAGATGGAAGCTTTGCGGTTCAACTTACTTGATTGCGCAGATTCAGTTCTATCCAACTCGAAATTGTACTGTTTTGTTTGGTTGACTATAGTGTAGCAGGGCAGGCACTATAGGGGTACAATTTAGGTGAAGGTTGGATGTTGTTTGTCTGTATCTGCATGCTACAGGGCCAGGGGAAACCAGCGGAACCAGCATTTGGCTGGTTGGGCAAAGACAAAACAGGTTCTGTTTTTAGGACCTGAACCTGGTTGTTGTTTTCCCAGGTTGGAAAAACAGAACCAGAGGTTGTTCACCAACCTATCACCTGCTATTTTGTCCAGCCAGGTTGGTTCTGTTGCTTGGAATTATTTGGGATCATCCCTGGTTGTTCCCAGGTTGATTCCCAAGGTCCTTGCTAGCTAGAGCTATTTATTCCTTCTCTGTTTGTACCTGAATATAGTGAAATTGATTCAAGCGAATTCCTTCCTTGCTGGAATTTCTTTTCTACGCGGTGCGACGGCGGAATGCTACCCGAGTCAACGCTAGTACGCTAGCACTCCAACGCTAGGCTAACGCTGTCCGAGCCATAACTTCGTAATGGCAGAACTTTTCGCGAGGCAACTTGGCTTATTTTAAAGCTCTTAGAGTGAGCTTCGATATAGGAAATTCTCAGCTTAATCCGGTCGACGGTCTGCACGATACGCTGCGCGACGCTCAAGGTACTCTTGCTGTTTTGACTAAGTCCCTCTTGATCCCTCTCTCTACAAACTCGGACCCGAGGATAGGGGCTGGTCTTGTACCAGGCACCCAAGGACCCTTGGAGGTGACCCCGAGGAGAGGTTTTAAGTGTGATAAAGTCTTAATAGCTTGAGTTTATTAGGCCCTTACACCAACACATAGAGCGTACAATGTTATGCCGGAGCGCACAATGCGTGAGTACCTGCAAATGCTTCAAGCGAAAATTGCGAAAGCAAACAAACACACGAACATACAATTCACACGCAAATGCATTCGCACACGCATAGTCGTACAAACAGACGGCAGGATGTCGTGCAATGTGAATTTGCACCCAACACAATCCTCCTTGATCGCCGCTGCAGCATCGCTCTTCTTGGACAAGGGACATGTCCACGTGAAACGGCTCCATTCGTCCACCATGGTGAGGAAGTACAGCACTCCCCCAGTCCCCTCCGTCCTCATAAGACCCACCAGGTCCATGTGCACCACCTCCAGTGGCACCTTCGGTGATCCCTCCGCACGTGGAAATGGGAACCGCGCAAACTTGTTTTGCATGCACGCCTCGCAGCTGCCATAGTGAGCGCCATCTTCTTGCAGTTGCAGCCCATGCACGCATTTCTCCTTGTGCATCACCTCCAATGTAGATACAGCCACGTGTGCGAGTCGCCTATGCCAAGTCTCCCAATCCGTTTGGCTCCAGGTAGCCGACGCCTTCACCGCCGCACTTCCTCCAATCAGCTCCTCTCCTTGCACATGCTGCTCCTTCTCCGTGACACTCTCCTCCATAGATGCCGCCACTGCCGCCTTACCTGATTTCCGCAAAGGGAGGACCGGGATCTGCCACATGCGCTTGTGGACATCTCCCTTCCACTGCAGGTCCCAAATCAGCCGCTCATCGTTGTAGGCACAGTAGCGCTCCGAGCCAATCGTCTCGGTGTTCACACCCGCATCTACCAACCGGCCCGTAGAAATCAGGTTCGCGAACAAGTCCGGCATCCACAGCACGTTCTTCAGCCCCACGAGCTCTCCATCCGCTCCCATGAACTTGGCACACCCCATGCCCATGACCTTGGCCTTGGCGCCCGTCGCGGATGTGACCGTAGAGATGGGTGCGGGCTGAATTTCATCGAGTAGGTCCGCACGAGGAGTCACATGCCAGGAGCTTCCCGAGTCAATCACCCAATGGGTGAGGGGGTGTAGGAGAACCTTGGCAGCCATAGCGAGGTCGGTTGCACCTTTGTTCACGAAGAAGAAGAACCCGGCTTTCTGCTCCTCAGATTTGCCACCTTTCTCCTCATCCTTCTCCTCTCCACTAGCTCCCATGACTCCCCCACTCCTCTTGCCACCATGCTGGTTGCTTGATGAAGGCGGGGTCCAATCCTTTGGTCGTTGGTAGCACTTCCGCCAATGATGTCCGTGCTTCTTGCAGTAGAAGCACACCTCTCCTTGACCCCCGCCGCCATCCTCCTTAGGGTTATCCTTGTTCTTGCCCTTCCACTTCTTCTTGAAGCCACTCTTTCCACCTCCAACTCCATAGCCAGCCCCCTCCTCCGAGCGCTCCACACTCCGCTGCCGCAAGTCCTCCTCATGGATGCGCGCGCGAATGTAATCCACGCTCCACTGGGGCTGTTGAGAGTTGAGGTTGATCGCAAGGGCAGAAAACGACCCGGGCAGCCGTATCACGATCTCAACGCATTGCACGAGCTCCGGATACACCACACCACTGCCTTGGAGCTTCGTAAAGATGTCATGCATCTCGTCCAACACCGGTTGCATCAGCTCTCCATCAACGAACTTGATGTCGCGCAGCTGCTGCGTGAGTAGCACAATGCCGGTAGCGTCTGTCGGTGAGTGCACATCCAGAAGCTTACTCCAAGCCTTGGGGCCACATTCTGGATCACCCAAGAGGTCCTTGATGTGGTGAAGTTGGCGTCCTCCAACCGCTTGCACCATGAGCACGTACGCGTCGAACGCTCGCTTCATCCACGCTCCTTTCAGCTCCGCGGCCTCCAGCATCTCCTCCTTCCCCTCTACTTGATCCAATAGCTTGTATTGGGTGTACATCAGCCTCATGCGGAAGCGCCAGTGCTCATAGTCCTCCCCCATGAATTTCTCAATAGAGAAAGCCTTCACAGAATCCACGGTAGTAGGAGATGGTGTAGAAGTAGTAAGTAGCGTAGGGTTGGCTGGTTGGTGAGTCCCCATTCCTCCACCAGCAACCCCCTCATGCTCTCCAACCTCTTTATTTCTATCCGTATCGACACTAGCACCTCCGGAGTTCGTACCAACCATATTGAGGCCTTTTGAATGGTGGAAACTTGAGAAATCGTTTCGAGAGAATCCTGCCAGAACTTTTGATTCTATGAAAAACGCCGTCACGGGCTGAATACTTCGAATAAGAACGCGATTCGACCACCAATCGAAATTTCGCAAGCACAGCCACTACAAAATGGTCTGACTCGTCAACATTGATGAAGATTTCATGACGATTCGTCGACTCAAAGTTGACTACCCGCTCTGATACCACTTGTTGTTCAGGATCCGTCACTTTGAGAGCTTACGACGAACTCATTACTAAACCAAACACAAATCCGCTCCGTAGGATTGTGCGCCTTAGGCTTAGATACCATTTCCAAGTTGAATCAGTCGTTAAGATGGTCTATAGAGTGAGATTTAAGAAGAAACGTCCAGCAGCCGCATGACTTGAATGGTGGAGGAAGTACAAGCATTAAGGCATAGAAAGTTGGAGTTGGGGACTCCAAGAGAACCATGAGAGTGAAGGGGTTCTCTATGAGCTAGGGAAGGATGGTAGAAACCTTCCTAGCAGCAAGGATGCAACCCTCATCATGAGGTCCTTGAGGTGTCACATGCAAAATCCAATCTAGTTGGATTTTACCTCGGTGTTGCAACATTTGCAACACATGCTAGAAACTTCTAGCCACCCCAATCCAAAAGTCAAAGTTGCCTTCCTAACCACCCAACCAAAGATCCCTTTATAGTCATGTCCCAATAATCGCCCACTGTAGATAACATCTCAAAATGAGATAGAATTCCCAAAGCTTGGAAATCTTATAACTTGGGCGATCTTGGTCGGAATAAGGCGATCTTGGTATCGTTGGAAAGCGCTGGATTTCTCCTGCATAATCAAGCATTTAAACTTGGAGAAAAACACAGAGATGATAATATTCAACAGCCATGCACAGTGACATATGCTCATGCAAACAATGCACGCATGAATAGCACGAGCACTCGGCAGGACGTTAGGATGACGTGCACTCAGAATAACGTGCATCCAACACCCTTTTTGTCTCAGGAGCTCCGTGAGTGGTTTGCTCAGCGTGGGGCGGCTGTGAGTAGTGGTTCCTGCCCGTATGTCATTCGCACATGTGACCGCACTGGTCAGACATGCGGGAGGCCTCACACTCAGCACCGCTGCTTTTACGGCCTTACCGACGCCCTTCGCGAAGAGTTTCCTGATGCAACTGAGCTCCACAACTGGGCGGAGCTGCTTAGGCAGAATGTTGAAATCAAACTCTAGACTTTGATGCTATCCTATCTGCCATATATGCATTGACTGTTAGTGCTGAGGGTGACTGTTACCTGTGTATGCTGCCAGACCCAGGTATAGAGGCTGCTGCTCTAGGTGCTAGTGAGTCTGCTGCCCTAGGTGCTGGTGAGTCTACTCTCTCTGGTACTGCATCTGCTGCGGCCCTGCACACCTTCACGCTTGACTCAGGTGCTTCCCGCTGTTTCTTTCACGACAGTACCACAGTCACACCGTTCTCTGCACCTGTTGCTGTCTCTTTGGCTGACCCCTCGGGGGGCCCAGTCCTTGCACGTTCCTCCACTGTTCTGCCCTGTCCGGCGGTTCCGTCTGGGTCATTGTCAGGTCTCCACCTCCCCTCGTTCTCTACGAACTTGGTGAGCACAGCTGTCCTCCAGGATGCGGGGGTTGGCACCTTCACCCCTCGACGTGCTCCCGGACCGGTCGCCACCTGGCCATGTTCACCCGTCGGCCTGGGTCGTGTCTGTACACACTGACTACTGCGCCTCCTCAGGTAGCTGTGTCAGGTCAGCTTGCTGCCCTCTGCTCGTGTCGCGCCCTGTCGCACCAGACTCTCCTTTGGCACCACCGTCTTGGTCACCCCTCTGTAGCACGCCTCCGTGGCATGCACTCCCGTCTCCTTGTCTCTGGTCTTCCCAGGTCTCTGCCTCGCCTCCCACCCTCGCCTGCCCCTCCCTGCCTTCCCTGTGTCGAGGGGCGGCAGCGCGCCGCTCCTTACTCCTCCTCGTCCCCCCCGACAGAGGCTCCTCTGCAGACTCTCCACCTGGACGTGTGGGGCCCAGCCCGCGTCCGTGGACAAGGCCACGAGAGGTACTTTCTGCTGGTTGTCGACGACTACTCGCGTTACACCACGGTCTTCCCCTCGTGCCGCACAGGGGGGGTCCCTGATTTTCTGATCCCTTGGATCCGCGCTGCTCGTCTCCAGCTCCACGAGCGGTTCGAGACGGACCTTCCAGTCCTGCGTCTGCACTCTGACAGAGGTGGTGAGTTTTCCTCCGACCTCTTGCGGGCCTTCTATCGTGCGGAGGGCATTCTCCAGACGTTCACGCTTCTGGCCTCTCCGCAGCAGAATGGGGTTGCTGAGCGACGCATCGACTTAGTCATGGAGGTCGCTCGTACCTCTATGATCCTTGCGGCTGCCCCCCATTTTCTGTGGCCGTTTGCAGTCTAGTACGCTGCGCATCAGCTAAACCTCCGGCCCCGTGTCTCCTTGCCGGAGACCTCGCCCACATTGCGTCGGACGGGGAAGGTTGGCGATGCGTCGGTGTTCTGGGTCTGGGGATGTTGAGCCTTTGTCCGCGATACGTCCGCGGACAAGCTCTCCTCCCGCGCCGTTCCCTGTGTCTTCTTGGCTTTGTCCCTGACGCGCCTAGATGGCAGTTTTACCACCCCACCTCGCGCCGTGTCCTGCCCTCTCAGGACGTCATGTTTGACGAGTCGGTTCCCTTTTACCGTCTCTTTCTCTACCGCACAGCCCTTCTCCCTCCCCCGCCGCTCTTCCTCGCGCCAGGTCCTCCTCCGGTAGACCCCCTTCCCCCTCAGGGTCCTGCTCCCTCAAGTGTGTCCTAGGTAGACCCTGTCGAGCCTGCCGAGGTCGCTGTCTACTCTGGTGCTGCTAGAGGTGTTGCGTCTGGGGGTGCTGAGCCTGCGGATGCGGGGCCTGGGGGTGCTGATCCTGAGCGTGCAGAGCCTGGGTGTACTGAGCCTGGGGTTGCTGACTCTGAGGGTGCGGAGCCTGAGGGTGCTGAGCCTGTGGGTGCGGAGCCTGGGGGTGCTGATCCTGCGGGTGCGGAGCCTGGGGGTGCTGAGCCCGAGCGTGCTGAGCCTGGGGGTGCTGAGCCCGAGTGTGCTGGGCCTGGAGGCCCTTCGGGTGTCTTGTCGCGACCGGAGTCTCTCTCTCGACTGCAGCTGCGCGAGTGGTTTGCTCGGCGCTGGAGCCTCCGGAGTGGTGCTACTGGAGCTGGAGTTGCTGGAGGTGCTGGAGCCCCTAGTCCCGGAGGTTCTCGTACGGGAGGTACTGGAGCTGCTGGGGCTGGAGGTGCTGCTGGAGCTGCTGGAGGTGCTGGAGCTGCTGGAGCAGAAGCTCATGCTAGCGCTGGAGCCACTGGAGGTGTTGCTGAGGCTGGAGCTACTGGAGGTACTGGAGCTGTAGGAGCTGGAGGTGCTGAAGGAGCTGGAGCTGCTGGAGGTGCTGGAGCCACTTGAGCTGGAGGTGCTGGAGCTGGAGCTGCTGGGGGTACTGAAGCTGCTGGAGCTGGAGGTGCTTCTGGAGCTGGAGCTGGAGTTGCTGCTGGAGCTGGAACTGTTGGAAGTACTGGTGCTGTCGGTGCTGGTTCTGGAGGCGCTGAGCGACCGCGACCCTACTTCGTTCCCTTGCTTCAACAGGTTCTTGGTCTCCCGTTTTCTACTGACCTTGCTCCTCCCTTCCTGTGTCCACCGCTTGACTAGTCCCAGCCACAGCTACTGCCAGCCTCCCCGCTGCCTACTCCTTCTCCTTACACCGAGCAGCACGAAGATCTTACTGAGCGTCGTGAGCTTGCGTCTCGTCCTGCGTCGCCTGTTCGCGCGCGTCACACTGGTAGTCGTGTCCCGCGTCCGCGTCCTCCTCTTGTCCCCGGCACGCACTAGATGGCACTTCGTCCTTCCTCTGTTCTATTGCGTGCCCCTCTGCTGTCTCTTCCTGCGTCCTTCCTTGCTGACGGTCTGGACCCGGAGTCTGACTCCCTTCATGCTGCTAGTCCTACTGTCACGCGTCTCCTGGCCACTGTTGTCACTGACCCTTCCTTTGAGTCCACTGCTGCGTCTGCTCTTGTTGCTGAGCTTGTCGACTTTGCTGCTCGCTGTCGTCTAGACTACGCCGCTAGCCTTGTTGCTGAGTTAGAGTTTGTCTCTCCTCCGTCCGTCGGGGGTAGTGTGCTCTTGGTACGGACGTCTTTGAGGACAGGCAGGAGGACGTTGAGTGCTTTGCAGCTGCTATACCTCATCTCATGTCCATGCTGATTGCACCTGAGGAAGACCCGGATGCACCAGACATCCCGTGCTCTTACGCAGAGGCCATAGAGGGTACCTACTCCTCGCAGTGGCAGTCAGCCATGGACGCAGAGATGGCATCCTGGAAGTCTACAGGCACTTACGTCGACGAGGTTCCCCCACCTAGGGCGAACATCGACAGTGGCATGTGATTTTTAGGGTGAAGCGGCCGCCGGGTTCTCCGCCTGTCTTCAAGGCGCGTTACGTTGCACGAGGCTTCAGTCAGCGACAGGGAGTTGACTTCTTTCAGACCTTCTCCCCTACCCCGAAGATGACCCTTGTGCTGCTGCACGTCGCCGCTCAGCGTCACTACGAGCTTCACTCTCGTGACTTCAACACTGCTTTCCTACAGGGCAGCCTGCACGAGGAGATCTGGCTGCGCCGCCCACCTGGCTTCACTGGGTCGTTTCCTGCAGGTACCCAGTGGAGCCTCCGCCGGCCAGTCTACGGTCTCCGCCAGGCGCCTCGC